CATTGCCCTGACTGCTGTCTGTCTACTGCAGGTAATATACTGACTGCTGATAAAACTCCACTTGGAAAACATGTGACCCATCCATTTAACATCCTGTTGGCGAATTCCTGTAGAGCTGAGCTTGTAAAATGTGCACAAATGATGCAATACTATGCAATCAAGGTGACACTAAACCAAATCTGAAAGGAATACTCAGTGGGATAAAGCCATGAAAAAACAAGAGAAAACTGCCTTTTATTATTGCATAAATGTACAGAATGTGTTTATATTTCTGTATTAGCTTTAATCCAAAGAACTGCAAATAATAAAAAAAACTAAAAAAAAACCACACCGTTTCCTGGAAGAGTTTACGAGAAAAGCACATCAGAAATGAGCTGTTCTCACCTGTGCACGACCTTTGATTTTTAATGCGTGGGCTGATTCACAGAAATATCTGAATATGACAAAGGCAGTCTGCAGCCACACATTAAACACTCGTTGCCTTTTGTGTTCAAATAACTAACGAATATGATTGGCTGCTAATTAAACCGCTCACACACACACACACGCCACAGCAGAAACTGGACTGTCAGTTCAGCTCGGTGAGTGAGTTTCCAGGAAATCAGCCCCGGGTAATTTGTTGTTTCCTTTCTTGAGCAGATTTAAACGCTGCGCAGCACGAAAGCAAACAACATCAGCATACAAAAACTGATTGGGCATAATGGGGTGCTGGCAGCACGCACTGATAGCACGGAGAGAAAGAATGTGTTGCTGTAAGACGGGTCTATATTGGCCATGTGATTTAGCAGTGAAGCATCCTGGGGCGTCGTGTTACAGGCCTTATACGGGGGCCACGGCCCCTGTGTCTCTGCTAGTCTCTGCTATTCTTAGCCTGTCTGTCCCTCAACTTCAATCCTGCAGGCAAGAGATTATTTTCTATCAGAATATTCAGTTTAATGGTGACCTTTGGGCCTTTTCTTTCCTGCTAGCTCTTTGGTTTCTGGGTCTGTGGAGAACTTTGTTCTGCATTCGCTCAGCTTTTGCTTTCTCTCTGTGCGTGTTCCTGCGCACGTGTGTTTGCGTGCGCGAGCGCATGCCTGCGTGTCCGTTTGTGTGTCTCAGAGGTTTTCGCAGCACCTGACCCACCCACCCCACTCACCAGCACCCACCAGGGTGTTTGTCCTGAGAACTGGGAGCAGACCAGGAGAGACGGTTGGGCTTGACGGGGCGACGGGCACGGCGCTGAACGGGACACAAACAAGGATAAACAGAACCAAAAGAGAAGAAGAAGAAGGAGAGAATACACATCAGAAGGAGCTGTTAGTCGGAGGAGTGTTGACATTTAGCAGAAGATGAGCGCGTACACAGTGACTCTGAGCGGCCCCGCTCCGTGGGGCTTCAGACTACAGGGAGGGAAGGACTTCAATATGCCCCTCACCATCTCCAGGGTAAGGACAGGATCTGTGCTCAGAAGTACAAACTGATTAAAAGTGGAAAAAGCAGCAACAAACTGCAAGCATACATTTAAAAACTGAATATATCTTCAGCTCTGTTCACAATTATTAAATAATTTGAGCATTTCAAAGATTACATTCATTTAAACCCACTTTTCTGTGTGCCGTGCCTTTTTTTGGTGTTTTTATTGGTTTGTAGTTAAAGTTTTATGGAGTCGTCGTGTCAAAAAACATTAAACTTGGCTCCATTTAACAGATATTAAGCTGACATGGATTGAGTCGTTAAAATATGCCTATATTTTACATTTTCAAAGTTTGCAAAACAAAAGTTGGCCCGACTTTAAACCTGAGTGTTCGTGCATGTGCAGTACTGCAAGTGAGTGTGTGCACGTCGTGTAGGTGTGATTTGTGCGCGTGATTATGTAATGTTGCTGTACGTGATGATGATGATGACGATGACAGTGGAGCTCTGGTGTGGTCGCCGCAGACATTTACAGAATAAACTGGTGGAGGAACGTCAGAAAAATCATATTTTGCAGCTGAAAATTAGTGAAATCGTATTTACCGCTTAAACATAATATAATGAAATGTACATATAAATTACATTTTAGTGCTATGTTAATACCAAACAAATGGAGAACCAAATTAATCTGAACATAGGGAGCAAAATGAATACATTTAAACCAAATGTAATCCCAAAGATACAATTTTGAGGATAAATTTGAACTCCATTGTTGCAAATGTTGCCAAATTGACACCACATACTGAAGAACAAAGCTTTGGCAGACATAACACGTCACTGTTATTAAAGTTTCAGTGTTTAAACAAATTGTTAGATTAGATTATGAATGTACAAATGAAGTGACCGTTCAGCAGACACCGGGTCGCTCTTTGGCACCGCTGCTGCTGTATGAACAGGGTTTGCTTTAAATAGCATCGGAGAAGAGTTTGGACGGATGAAGAGATGTGAGGAGTGCATGAAGCTAATGACAGCTTGTGTTACCTTTAGTAAGCTTAATTCCTCGCTGCGAGTCAGTTTCATTTCCAGCCTCTGGAGTTGAGCCTGTGAAAAAGCAGGAAGAGTCAGGAAATGAGAGACAGAGCGATGGAGATGCTCACCGGAGTGGAATAACAATATCTGCTCCCTCACGCCTCAAACTCTTTGTTCTGCACTGAAGCTCAGGCCAACTTGCATTACATGATGGTTTTATTGCACTCTGATTCTGGGGGATTATTTGGGTCCGTATTGTTAAATTTGCTTCAGTGGAGCCCAGCAGGTTAACAAAACACCTGAGCTTTGGGTGACATTACAGTTTGATGCAGGGTTTGGATTTCTGCCGACTTACACCAATAACTAAGAAAAGAAATAGAAAATAGAGACAGTGGATTATTTACATAGTTAGTCAAAACTAAGAAATGAGCTAACTGGCTCTGTACACAGATTTGAAATCACCGTCAGTCTTGTCGTCGAGTATAAGATTTTTTTAAATGTCAAATTCTGACCTTTTCCTCATGTGTCATTAGCATTTTATTCTTCTAAGGCTGATTTTTGCAAGACTTGAAAAGCATCATGAATGTTATTTGGTATATGGAGAACAAAATCACCAGCAAAGCAGCACAAGGCAATGCATTTTATGAAAATTAACGCCCAAGAAAAACTTGTATAAAAATACGATGAGACCAAATACGGAGCCTTGTGGTACGCCACAGCTAATTAACACGATAAGGGCTATACTTTTTATTGCTAATGGTATAAGCCTAATAATTAAACAAAACAGATCTCTTGTAAATGAGTCTTCATGACTCAATGAGACTAACCTGTATAAAGAAATGTTGAATGAAAATTATCCATTAACTCAATACAAGTCTCTGGTTTCTCACTGGCTACTGGACTGAGCCAGTGCTTGTGAAAGATGCATGTATAATTGAAGATATATCATGTTTAAACTTATTTGAACTGTAAAACAAAACATTTAATGTTTTTTTATCCAATGAAAACTTTTGATGTTTGTGTAAGTTTTTTCACCAGATCTCCTGGTTATAATTAACCATTTAAAGTGTGAGTGTGTTTGTGTTTGGCAGTGAATGCACACAGCATAGTCCATCAGCATGAAGCCATAGGCATCAACAGCATTTCTTATTTTTAACTCTTTAACGAGTTGACTGTAAGCCCAAACCCAACACTGCACATCACTGAGCTCACCAAAGCCTTGTTTCTGTGGATTTAAGTGGCAAAAGGTTGGCTATGTAGCCAAGCTGAAGAAATAAGCAGCTGAGGGTCAAAATATGACGGCTATTTTACTTTAACGTCTGTTTTCGGCTGCCCACGACTCCAACTCTGAATCTGTCTGTAGCAAACACCAGAAAAGACAACTTCCTGTCAGTCCTTCATGTTGTTTCCATACTTATTTTCCTCAGCAAAGACTTCTTATCCAACAGAAAACAAAAGTTTCATAAATAATTGATAAACACCACTCAAATATCCACAACTGCGCTACATATATTTGCATCTGCTCTGTCGGCCTTCCTCAGATAACCCCCGCCAGCAAGGCATCAGGTGGGACCCTGACCCAGGGCGACATCATCTCAGCCATCGATGGAGTCAGCACCGACGGGATGACGCACCTGGACGCCCAGAACAAGATCAAGGCGGCCACCAACAAACTTACGCTCTCAATGCAGAAGTAAACAACCAGCACACTTAAAACTCAATCATCTGGGGTGTGGAATGCTAAAAATGTACTAAAGTCACAAGATGAACACGTCAAAAACAGCCTTTTCCTGCAGCTTTAACAAAAGTCACAGCAATAGAAACATGTTAATGAGCTAATTAACTCATTTTAAAATCTCAATGTTACTGTCTGAGCAGATCAAGACGTCCAGCTCCAGTTCCCACGGCAACTCCAAGAATGGAGTCACCGATGCCCATCATCCCACACCAGAAGGTATGTTGTTGTCACGAAGCAGAGCTCTGCTGTCCTCTAGTGGAGAATATTCAGAGCAGCTGCAGGGAGGTCAGAGGTCAGCAGAGCCTGACACAAACACAGAGCAATGTAAAACTGGCTGCCACCTTTAGTGTATTTTAAATTGTTTCACATATAAATTATGTGCATGTATTTTAAATTGTTTTTAAAGCACGGGAAGATTTTTTTCACATCTTGCAAAAACCTCCAGGACTAAAAGTTGTTTCCACATTTGTTATGATGCGTGAGGCAAAACTTGGAGGAAAATGTATAGAAATGTTATCAATGATGTCATGTACATTTAGATAAAACTTGGATATTGTCTTAAGTTGTAAAGTTGCGAATTTTCCAGAAAAAAAAAATAATAATAAAACACTAGATAATTGCTAAGATCGTGAAATTATAAATTTTGGAGTAAAATGCAAAAGATTTCATGGATTTAGTCAAGGAAAAATTTGAGTTTCTTCATACAAATATAAAAACTTATCTCAGATCTTTTCATGTAAAACAAACAAACAAAAAATTTTTTAATTACATATAAAAAAATTGAATTCCTGAATATTTTCATCAAATTTTGCCCCACCATCTAGCTTCTTTTTTTAATATTTTGAGTTACAGATAGTAATATGAGGCTGCCAGAGGCAGTGTAATTCACTCACTGGCCTTTGACTCCTAAAATACCAAGAATAGTTCACTTTTTCTAGGATTTTAGTGCAAATAAATAAATGCAGCAGAATCATTCATTGTGGAGGAACAAAACTTCACTCATTCAACTGCACATTAGCTGAGCTACTAAAATAAAAATGTGTTCAGAACTTTTATTTCCTGAGTGTTGGTGTGACGCTCACACAGCTGCTCTGGCTTCAGAGCTGGTAACAGAATAACAGCCGACTGAACTTCAGTCATTTGGGAGTTTTAATCAAGGCCGATCTGAGCTCTTTACTGAACATTCAGCCAACTTGGTGCTCCTGCTCAAATTTATGAAGAACAAAATAAGTTGTCTTTTTCAAAAAAAGTGAACAAAATGTTTTATTTTTTATACATTTTAGTGCTCCAGTTTTTTTTTTTTTTTAAATCAAGGACAGAATTTGAAGCCTAGCACAGAGTTTTATTTATGTAGGTTGTTGCTGTTATCAGGCTCTGAGGAGTTGAACTCAGGTGTGGACTGACACGAGGAACTCGGAGCTAAAAAATAAATACAATTTTACTTAAATAATCAAAAACAAATAGTTGACATGGACACAAACGTACAAAATTTGAAAACTCAACACATAGCGTTACAGGGAATGACTGGCAGACGAAGCACAACCCACAGATGAGGAACCAAACAGAATGAGACAATATTTAAAGACCAAAACTGACGAGAGAAAATAACAAACACCTGAGGAGGATAATCAGGAGCAGGGGCTGGCAACGAGAGAGAAACACCGGAGAAGCTGGAAACCGGGAAAAAAAA